GAGGGCGCGTCGCGCTGGGGCTGGTGTGGTCCCTCCTCTTCCTCCTCCTCCTCCTCCTCGTCCTCCTCGTCTCAATATTATTACGAGTGTTAGTAGCATTACTATTATTATCATTAGTATTATCATTATTATCATTATTATCATTATTATCAGTATTATTATTATTATCACCACGAGTAATAATATTCCTAATCTGTTTCGTACTATGATTAACATTCGTCTTCTTCTTGTACGTCTTAGCATCAGTATTCTTAGTATTAGTCGTCATAACATTTCTCTTACTCTTCTCACTTGGTATTGTTACTTGGTATGACTATTATTTGTGTTGACTAATACCATTATATGTGATCGTGATATTCGTAAATTTAATGTGTGTAGTAGTATTGTTTGTAGGCGTCGCATTGGTAGCATTCGTCTTCTTATCAGGCGTCTTCTTCGTAGTAGTATTAGTGGTGGTGTTAGTGTCATGCGCATTCTTATGCATATTTCTATGAACACTATTCAGACACGTGGAAATAAGACTCTGATTATGACTCCTACCATTCTGATCCTGATGTTATGAGTATGCGTCGTACTAGTAGTCTTAGCAGTATTGCTATTGTTCTGGGTACGCCTATTATCATTAGTGCGCATCTGATTATTCGCGTTACTCTTATGCGTATCGTTCTTACCATGATTAATAATGGCATTCGTATTGTTAGTATCACAAAATTCGATCTGAAGATGGAAGATGTGAACGGAACTGACCCCAACCGGGAAATCGGTTTGGTTTCGGTTCGAGTCGTGCGTGTGGGCGGGGCGAAGCTGCGCGAATTCCTGAACTTATGGAAGCCACATGGAGCTCAAAAGGTCGCCTGCCCCCCCCACCACCAGCCCAGCGCGGCCCCCGATGGTTGTCCCGAAGGTTGTCCCGACGGTTGTCCCGACGGTTGTCCCGATGGTTGTCCTGGCGGTTGTCCCGATTGGTTGTCCCGATGGTTGTCCCGATGCTTGTCCCGATGGTTGTCCCGACGGTTGTCCCGATGGTGTTGTCCCGATGGTTGTCCTGGCGGTTGTCCCGATTGGTTGTTGCCATGGTTGTCCCGATGGTTGTCCCGATTGGTTGTTCCCGATGGTGTTGCCCCGATGGTTGTCCCGATGGTTGTCCCGACGGTTGTCCCGATGGTAGTCCCGATGGTAGTCCCGATGTGTCCAGATGGTTGTCCCGATGGTTGTCCCGATGGCTGTCCCGATGGCTGTCCCGATTGGTTGTCCCGATGGTGTTGTCCCGATGGTGTTGTCCAGATGGTGGTCCCGATGGTTGTCCCGATGGTTGTCCCGATGGTTGTCCCGATGGTTGTCCCGATGGTTGTCCCGATGCTTGCCCCGATGGTTGTCCAGATTGGCTGTCGCCATGATTGTCCCGATGGTTGTCCCGATGGTGTTGTCCCGATGCTTGTCCCGATGGCTTTTTTCCGATGGTGTTGTCGCCATGGTTGTCCCGATTGGTTGTCCAGATGGTTGTCGTGGTTGTTGTCCCGATGGTTGTCACGACGGTTGCCCCGATAGTTGCCCCGACGGGTGTCCCGATGGTTGTCGTGGTGGTTTTCCCGATGGTTGTCCGGTTGTCCCGATCGTTGTCCCGATGGTGTTGTCCCGATGGTTATCCCGATGGTTGTCCGGATGGTTGTCCCGATGGTTGTCCAGATTGGTTGTGACCATGGTTGTCCCAATGGTTGTCCAGATGGTTGTCCCGAGGGTTGTCCCGATGGCTGTCCCGATGGCTGTCCCGATTGGTTGTCCCGATGGACTTGTCCCGATGGTGTTGTCCCGATGGTGGTCCCGATGGTTGTCCCGACGGTTGTCGCGATCGTTGTCCCGATGGTTGTCCCGATGGTCTGGTTGTCCCCATGGTTGTCCCGATGGTTGTCCCCATAATTGTCAAGATGGTTGTCCCGACGGTTGCCCCGATGGTGTTGTCCCGATGGTGTTGTCCCGATGGTTGTCCCGATGGTTGTCCCGATGGTTGTCCCGATGGTTGACCCGATGGTTGACCCGATGGTTGTCCCGATGTTGTCCCAATGGTTGTCCCGATTGTTGCCCCGATGGTTGCCCTGATGGTTGTCCCGATGGTTGTCCCGATGGGCTGGTTGTGCCGATGGTTGTCCCGATGGTTGCCCCGATTGTTGGTCCCGATGGTTGTCCCAATTTGTCCTGATGGTTGTCCCGATGGTGGTCCCGATGGTTGTCCCGATGGGCAGATGTGCGCGACAAGGACAATTGAAGGAACCACCGAGGAACCCAGAACCGTCCCAAATCGACCGCCGCCCCCTTCCCACCCCAACTTTCCCACTTTCCATGAAATTGCCGCACGGGTTATTAAACATGTTTTGGTATGCATAGCTTTGGTATTATGCCTAATACGGTTTAGCCCTCGTGCTGTTGTTATTTCTAGCATTCGTATTGCGAAGATCATTATTCAGATAACTCTTCGCATCCGTAGTGGTAGTCTTCGTAGTCTGCCCATTATTAATCGTATTACGTATAAGTAGTCCTTGCCGCTTTCTTCTGATTGTTCGTATTCGTATTAAACATTTTCTAATATTAGTATGACTCGGTTTCTTCTCGTCATTATTATTATCATTACTCCTCCTCCTCCCCATTTTCCTCGTTTTCCTCGCCCTCCTCGTCCAACTCCTTCTCGTCGTCCTACTCATCCTCCTCGGTTTCTTCCTCCTCCTCCTCTTCCTCATCATCTTCTTCCTTTTCCTATTCCTCCTCCTCCCCATCCTCCCCCTCCCCCTCCCCCTCCCCCACCCTCACTGTCCTTCGTCCTCCTCCTCCTCATCATCATCTTCCTTCTCCTCCTCCACCATCTCCCCCATAGCCTGCATCTCCTCCGTCCCCATCTCCCCCATCCATTCTATATTGTCTATCTCCTCCAGTTCATCTATCTCCCCCTCCTCCAGTCTGTCATTGGCTAATGCTTCGTAGTTCGTCACGTCGTATCGGAACTTCGCGTGGATGGCGTAGTCCTCGTCCACCTGGACCTCGTACCTCTTGGTGCTCTGCTGGCAGTATACGTTGTAAAGAGCTTCGTTGCGACCCTTTTCGGTGCCGTCCTCACTGAAGTAGGAATATGTTGGTCGTACCTTGTTGTGACCGATGCTGTTGCTGAGCTGCTCCTATGTGCCATGCATGAATGGTGTGGATGCGCGTGAATATCGGCGGCTCCTCGCCGTCGATGAGCGGCTAGTGGTCGGGTCTTTACTCGGTTGTCCAGTAAGATGGGATATCCTTCGGCCGTTGTGACCAATATCCGCCGGCCCCCTTGTGGGGCCACCAGGCTGTAGGCCCGTGATTCGCAGTTTCCTGTACCAGTTGTAGTTTGTAGTTTCCAGTGTTACAGTTCTGCTTCTTGCTGGTTACTGTAACTAGTTGGTTGACCGCGCGAGGGGAGGGAGGCCCAAACCAGATTTTTAGCACCACCTGGGCGCGTTGTCTGAATTGCTGGGGGGGCTCAAAATCGACACCCCTCACGCAGATCCGCGGGGTCAGGGTCCAAAAACACATGGGATTTGCCACATTTCTGAAATTTGGTGCCACCCCTCACGCAGATCCGCGGGGTCAGGGTCCAAAAACAAAGGGGATTTGCCACATTTCTGAAATTCGGTGCCACCCCTCACGCAGATCCGCAGGGTTAGGGTCCCAAAACACAGGGGATGTGCCACATTTCTGAAATTCGGTGCCACCCCTCACGCAGATCCGCGTGGTCAGGGTCCAAAAACACAGGGGATTTGCAACATTTCTGAAATTCGGTGCCACCCCTCACGCAGATCCGCGGGGTTAGGGTCCCAAAACACAGGGGATTTGCCACATTTCTGAAATTCGGTGCCACCCCTCACGCAGATCCGCGGGGTCAGGGTCCAAAAACAAAGGGGATTTGCCACATTTCTGAAATTCGGTGCCACCCCTCACGCAGATCCGCGGGGTTAGGGCCCCAAAACCTGCTCTTCCATGGCCCATTCTCCGAGAGAGGGGGCCGGCGGCAGGGGGCGAAGCCCTTACGGATAACTCGACTTGATGATGCACGCATAGGTACTTCCAACCAGTGAATGCGGAAATGAGTCGATCGTGTAGTAAGTTGAAGCAGCTATTGCTGATGCCGGGTACGTATGCAATCGTGATATGCGTCTCTCTCTCTCTCTCTCTCTCTCTCTCTTGGCCCGAGTCCAGCCACTGCTGGTCGGTACAGGCAGGCACTCGTGGCCTAGTCGTAGTGATACGTAGACGACATGCATCTCGATGCCGGCCTCGGTGATCATGTCCTGCTTGTCTGGATCGACATGTGCGCGTAGTGGTTGAGCGCAGACTGGGTCGGACGTGGATGGTTTAGCTGTGCGTTGTAGGTCGGGTCCAGTGTTTCTACCATGGGCACGTATTTGTGGAGGTGTGGTGTTGCTTCCTCCATCAATGTACTGCTCGGTCGACTGTCGGCACAGCGATTCGATCAGGTACTCGCGCCGTCTGGTGATCTCGCCGTCCGTCTTGAATGGCCATGCCACGTGGGTCGACAGTGGAGTCGGGCAGGCGAACAGTGGCGCATTGGCCCATGTACTTCCCAAAGCAACGCATGCATGGCGGTTGGTCGGATTGTATAAGAGCGCCGTTGGGAACAGCATGCTGGTTATGCACGCGTGGGCGAAATGCCAGCGGCAAATTTGAGCCCGATGGTAACGGGGGCTGCGCATGAGAAGCTCCGCTGGAAATCTCGTCACTCGGCACATGCTTCGCAAGTGCCCCCGGGTCCACGCATAGGCCTCCCCTCGAGGCCTCACCCCCAGGTGCGCCTCCGAAGGCTCCCGTGCAAGATATGGGGCTGTGAGTAACTGATCATGATCATGAGTGAAATCCGCTTCGGCCATAGATGTGCAATGAGTCCCTGCGTTCAGGCTTGCGAACAGATGATTTACGCTTAGTCCAATTGAAACTCCAGTAGTTGTCGCGCGTGGACTTATGAA